TTGTTAGTGATAATAAAAGCTCATTGCAGAAGGCTCAGATAGTATGAAAGTGAGTAGCAGAGTTCATAAGTATCTGCCATGATTCTTGAGGAAAATTCAGACAGGAGTGTGTTTACCTTTTAGTATTCATTTAAGGTCTTCTGCGGTTGCTGCACCTTGGCAGAATGGATTCCCAGGGTGCCTGAGGCATGGATTTGATCCCAGATGCCAAAACAAGTTGACTTCATGATCAGGTGGTAATTTACACAAAAGTTAACACTTTCAATGTGTGTGTGTGTGTCTGGAAGAATGTAGATGGAAATAACAGGAGAGAGAAAACCCTTGAAAAACAAGCCCCATTAGAGATGGAGGGAGTGATGAGGCAGGAGGGCTGGTCTGCTGCAGGGAGGGGGCGGTGAGAGAATGAAGCCAAATCCCTCTGTCGGCGAGTTTCCCCCTTAAACTGGGTAGCCAGGTTTCCACTTCTGCTCCCACCAGCAGAAGGAGTTCCTGTGGCTGTTGTCCAGCTCTAGAGTTCTTGGATGGGGTGAACCCTCCAGGAAGTCTGGCTTTGATTTGGTCAAGTGTGCCAAGCAGATATTTTCCTGTCTTCTTGTTTCAGACAGGGTCTTGTGTAGACCAGACTGTTATCAGGCTTTCTCTGTAGCTGAGAATGAGCTTGAACTTCTGAGCCCAACTGCTGGATTCGTATATTTTGAAACGAAGTGTTGAGATATAGCTCAGGCTGGCCTAGAACCCTCTATAATGCCCAGGCTGGTCACGAACTCATCATCTTTTGGCCTCAGCCTCCTGAATGCTGGGATTAGAGGTATGAGCAATATTTTACTATCTTTTCTATTTCCACCTTCAGAAATCTAGTATTATGTGTAGGTAGTTTTGATGCTTTGTTTTTCAAAATCCTTTCACTGAGTTAAATTAGGAATTTTATTCTGAACTCACCCCATCTAACAGCTCCTGCCCTGATCCCAGTAGCCTATTTGTGGGCTCCATCCAGACAAGCCTGGTCCTTGTGAGTGCTGACTATTCTAATGGTGTGAACCTGACAGCCCAGAACACAATCATGTAGTTCTTATTTTTCACTACTAAGAACAGGAGATAATCCTGTTTGGATTTTTGGTAATCTTTCTTTCCAGCTTGCGTTTGGCCAGAATGTCTGATCATTGCAATAGAAAGCAAAGTAAAACAGGAGACTTGTCCAAGGCTCTTCAGTGATAGACTGTAGGGTTTGGCCTCTGTGCCGCATCTTCTGGCCTCAGTCTTGTGTTCTCTTCCAGCTGGGTCCTTGTTCTTCCTGTCCTTCCTGTTCACCCAGCCTGATTGGCCATGAAAAGAGTTGCCAACTAGCCACACAGATAGACGCCATTTAGATATCTCCTACTGCAGCTCAGTGTGTCTTGGTGTACTTCTCTGGGGATGCTTAAAGAAGGGTTTCTGCCATTTTCCTCGTGGTCTCTGTGACTGAGCAAGGAAGTAGTGTCCCTCTGCAGAGCGGCTGGAAGCACACTCCCACTAATGTACTTTTTGTCTTTGTTGCAGGATTCCTCTCAGTAGCAAGCTGTATTTTAGTGTATAGTAAATGGGACTCCAGTGTGCCACCCTCTTCTGTGTGACCAAGGGTTTCTGAACTCTGCTCATTGCTGTGACTAGTTTGCTGAGCAGAGCCTGACTTTGTCATACAAATTTGATAAATTAATGATCAAATCGGTTTTTAGTATGAAATGGAGAGAATTTTTGACTCAAAGATAAAAGTTTGGGCCTGGACTTGGGACCTCACCATCTGGTGCAGTTTTTACCTGAGAGGTGACGAGCATGTGGCCAAATGCACAGCTTGGTAAGCTAGGTGTATGTGGATTTGGTGTCAGGAGGCGTGGTTGGTACCATTTATGTTTTGACGTAGGTCTAGATATGTATTAGGTGTCTCAAACTCACTATTATCCTGCCTGATTCTCAGTCCTGGGTCACAGATGTGCACAATCTGTCTGCCTTCCGTATGTGTGTGTTGTTGTTTTTGAAACATTCTCATGTATTTCACGCTGACTTCAAACTCACCCTGTAAAATGATTTTGAACAGCTGCTGCTTCTCCTGGCTTTGCCTTCTGAAAGCTATGATTTTAGTTACTGTGCACCATCAGGTCTGGCTCATACAGTACCCAAGGCTTTGTACTTGATTGGCAGGCAATCTACCAACTGGCCACACTCTCAGCCTCTACTCTGTATGGTTTTGACAACCCTTAAACCCATCTCCAATCCCTCCTCCATAACCAATTTTTAATTACTAGTATCATTAATTTTTTTTAGCCAGTTCTAGAATCTCCTACCAGTGGAATCCTCCTGTATCAATATTTTGGATTTGAAGAGATGTGTCTCAAATCATATGTGCTCAATATATATAGTACGGGTTCCCTTCAGAGCATGAAGACTTGGGTTTTAAGAGAAATGCTGTTTGGAAATAGAGAAGTGGGTGTTTGTTTCTTGTCACTCTTCAAATTATTCATTTTCCTACTCTGCAGTCTTGGAAGCAGCACAGGCAGCTATGAAGATGGCTTCTCACCCACAGGCAGCTGCTCATTTGAACAAACAAGCTTTGAATACTTTGTTGCTTCTGTCACCCTCCACTTTAGGCCCTGAGCCTATAAGCTGGTATTCCTGATGTACTCCAGTGCCCTGTGTCAGTCACTGGTGTATGTTCCCTTTTCTCCACTTTTTCTAAAGGAAGGAACTTAAGATTCATTTTTGTTGGTTTTCAAACCAGTTAACCCTGTGTCTGTGGCATCTCACATTCTCAGGAGCCTTTGGGCCTATGATCCCTGCCTTGCACGAGGGGGAGCTTTTAGAAATCTTGCTTCATGCTTTCCTTGAGGAAAGGCTTACGCTAATGCCTGCCTCTGCCACAGAGGGAAGAAAGAGGAGGGTCTGATGGAGCGTTGGACTGAGCAGGGAGTGGCATGGAGTCTGAGGAGAGGTTTTCTGAGGGAAGGTGGGAACAGATAGTTCTACGAGCAAGGTAGAAATCAGGCATGGTGTGTAGGAAAGGGATGTTGAGGAAAGCAGGCGGCAGCAGAAGCATGGACAGGCATCGTGGCAGCTGCAGGGGTATGATGAAGGTAAAGGAGGGGGCACATATCCTGTTTATGGCCTATCTAAGGGGAGTTTGCATGGAAGAGGCTGTTAACGAATGTCAGGGGAGTGTGCCTAGGCCAGGGAGACAGATGTGGAGCTGAGCTTGTAGACATTGCCAGCTTGTATCATAGTTTTCCATGACTCTAGTGGAGTTTTTAGAATCTTCCTGAGATCATGGCTGAGAAACTGAGGCACACAGCTGCCTTGAGGCCCAGGGATGCCAGGGTTGACACAGGATTGCTGTGATTCTACAAAAACAAAATCAAACAAGCCTCCTCACAAAAACTAAATCATTTAAAATAGAAACCAGAATACCTCACTCCTCGATGATTCAGCATGTGTCTCCTGAAGAAGAGCTTAACCTGTGAGACCCTACCTCATCTAAGAAAATAAACAGCTGTTGCATAATACCTTCCGTCTACCAGCCAGTACCTTCCATGCACATATATCACTGAAATGTTTTTATTTGATTTTTTTTTTATGGTACAAGTTTAGGCATTACATTTGGTCCTAGGTTACCTAGTCTCTCTTCATTTCGTTGTTTTGTTTTGTTGTTATTTCTCTCATGTACTTTTGTATCTTTAATGTGATTGGCCTTTTGAAGAGACCAGATGTCAAAGGTGACATGTCTGTCTGTTGGGTGTCACTGCCCTTGCTGTTTGTCCAGCACCCAGTGCAACCAGGGAGTCGGGTCTGAAGGCTGTGGTTAGGTCCAGGCACAGCAATTTTCAGAAGAGCCCTCAAAAGTCTTGGCCCCACTGGTCATAGCTAGAGGCACAGGACACTGGGGAGCCTGGCCTGATGGTGTGGGATCTCCTTGTGTGCACACACTAAGCTCTGGGCGCTGAGCACTTTGTTTGAATCCTTTCACCAGCCCCTCGGCAGCCCTCATCTGTTGGTCTCATACTCTTCGAGGAGTCTGCTGGGCTTGGAGATTTCCTCTTGAGAATCCACAGTGGTGACTCAGAGTCTGTCAACATTTCTACTTTCCTCTGGTGGTTGTTCTGTAAAAAAGTCCTTCTCCTCAGCCATGGGAGGTTAACTGCACAATTCCTCCCAGAAAGATAGAGTAAGTGGATAGTACTTTTCTTTTGAATTACCTGCTTCCAACTTAAGGAAAAAGAATTGGCTGGTTTTCCTTTTGGTAGACTTCACTTGACTTCTACTGGCTCAGTCTACAGAGTGAGTTCCAGCCCAGCCTGGAAAACTTAGGGAGACCTTGTCTCAAACTAAAACAGGGCTGGGAGCATAGCTTGGTGCTAGTGTGTTTGCCTAGCATGCATAAATCCATGGGTGTGATCCTCAGCACCCCCCTTCCTTTAAATCATTAGCATCTGGTTATTCTCAGCATCTCAAAGTTTCTCTTGCTAGGCAGGGAGGAGAAGCAGTGAGTGCCCTGCCCCACTGGTGGTGAAGCCATTACCATTTGCCCTGAGTGTCTGATCATTTACTGGCTTGGACCCACCAGGCTGCTTGAAAGGGGCTGCTGAACCCAAAGGACTTTCTTTGACACTGAGCCAAAGTCAGACTTTTTTTTTTTTTTTTTTTTTTTGCCTCCTGCAGGTGAAGGAACAGCAGTTAAGGGATAAAAGATCAGCCAGGCAGGAGCTGTGGTCATTCCTGGGGGAAAGCTGAAGGGTGGGTGCCGTTCAAGCAAAGAGGAGAGAGACATAGAGCAGAGGTGGTAACCTCTTCTCCATCACAGGAGAGAGGCATAGAGCAGAGGTAGTGATCTCTTCGTCATCTGCAGAGCGCCATGCAACCACAGGGGCATTCTCTCCATCACGGGAAGCTCTGCCCACCTCACCCACCTCCTGGGTTAGTTCACAGGAGGAACAGGTAAGCAAGCCTCCAGGTGATGCTGTCTCCTCTCCCTGCAGGTGTGAATGACAGAGGTGGTACCCTCCAGCGCCCTCAGTGAGGTCAGTCTGCGCCTCCTGTGCCACGATGACATAGACACTGTGAAGCAGCTGTGTGGCGACTGGTTCCCCATTGAGTGAGTGTTGGGCACTGTGTCTCCAGTGCCTGGGAGAGGACCATGATGGTTCAGAGTTGCTATCTAAAGTTGGCCAACTAGGCAGTGAACCGTATTTGTCTGCTGCTCAAGAGGTTCTGCTGAGAAATTTTGCTTAAAAATCTGTCTAATGCTGCATGTCCTCGGGTAATTTAGGAGCAACTTCAATGTAAGAAATTGGTTAGATATATTAGGATATGCATATGTAAAATGCAATGTTGCTGGTGTGCATATGCCTAGAATACTAGAATTCAGGAAGTGGAAGCAGGAAAAGGTCAGGAGTTAAAAGGCAGCCTGAACCACATAGTAAGTTTGAAGCCAGCTTGGGCTGTATGAGAGATCCTGTCTTTCAAAGGGTTATGAGTTGCCCAGGAACAGAAATCTGTTAAAGAATTTATTTACTGACAGAAAGTTACTTTCATTTCTTCCTCTTTCTTTTACCAAATACTAAGTGAAAGTACTACAGAGAACGGTGTGTACCACAGTCAGCCTTCATTTAAAAATATGCATAGAGTAAAAGCTTCTACACGCTGCACAGGAAGGTGATAGTACTTTGCCCTTCATGAGAATCATCGCCAACACTGTTCTTAATAAGGAAAAGGTTTGCAGGAGAGAAATGAGTACCAGATTTATTTGACCTGCGTCTTCTATCATGGAAGCCTTCAGATTAAGGATGGAAATGCCCTTGGCAAATTCTCCATTTCTGTGCTTAGGTTCAGTGAAGCATGGACTGTCATGCAGAGATGATTGGACAGAGAGTGTTATCTGCTCCTAATGGGTTGAAGGTGGAGGACACCGTGAGGCCTGTAGTCAGGCTCCCCATGGGCTCTGTGACAGCCCCTCTCTGTAGGCATTGAGCATTTCTGGGATGAGGAGGCTGTTAGTTTTATCATTGCTGTGGCCAAAATGCCTGATGCAAACAGCTTACAGATGACAGGGTTTAGCTTCAGAGGTTTCAGGACATTGTTTTAGGGGGCGCTTGAGGGGGCAACCCACATTACAGTGGACAGGGAGTAGAGGGACGTAGTAACTGGGAGGGCCACAAGGAAGCTGTTGCCCCCTAAGGGCATGTCCTCAGGGACCTACTTCCTCCAAGCCCTGCCTTCCACAGTTCTGCACTTCCCAGTAGCCTGCAGTGCCCAGTGCAGTTTGAATCTGTCAGTGCCTTCACAGACACCCGGAAATGTATTGTGCTGATCTCGGGGGCACTTCTCAGTCTAACTAAGCTGACAATCAGTGGTATCAACAGTGGTGTCAGATCTACTGTGAGACAAGACAGGACAGAGAATTTCTTCATGGCCACCTTTTACACCAAGAATCCCATTGGCCTTGGAAGAAAGGGATTCTGCTGGTTTCTGTGGGCCATACTGGAGTAGAAGTAGTTGAGGTTATATGGCTTGTGTTAGGGGAGAGAATGAAAGACAAGAGGCAGATCTGAGAGGTTCTCTTGTGGACCTTCACTGTGGGGATCACTTGCCCCCAAAGTACTGCTAAATTAAGTACTTTCAGCAGTTTGAGGTGGAGTGGAATTTTAGCACCTGTGGATCCCTTTGTTTTTGCTTACCTTATTTCTAGATTAGTGTATGATATGAAAAAAACAGGGTTTTTGTTTGTTTGTTTAAGTGAGAAAGACAGACACAAACTTTGAAACATAAAAGCTAAGCAAGGTCCTTTATGTCATTGGTATTTCCTGAGTCCTGGTCTTATACTTGTGCTCCATGCCAGCAGAAAAAGTAGGGCACATTTCCCCCAACCCCTCTGCATCTCTGCTGATGTAGAAATTGCCAGCTTCTTAGGAATGTGGGCTAACAGTACTTTATAACCTATCCTTCAAGTTAGAATCCCAGTACTGAGAAGTAACCCCAGGAAATAAGAACAGAAATGAGGCCCTGCTCAGGACTGTGGGGTTGTTTAGAGCCACATTGAGTTTTCAGCCTTAGTCACGTGTTGTGTCCCTACCCATGCTCGAAAGGTACTGTAAACCCTAGTGCACGTAGCCGTGAACTTTGGCTCTTCCTTGAATCACCTTGTCCAGTCTTCAGTGCCAGAAAGTCTCACAGAGGACCGTTTGCAGCAGTCAGGTCTCGCCGTCCTTCATAGCATCCTAGGAATTGAACTCAAGTTTTGAGGCTTAGCTGTAAGCACCTGCACCTACCGAACCATCTCAGCAGCCCTCACAGAATTCCTCATAGATGAGCCAAGTGTTCATGGTCTCTGAGGGCCCTGAGGTCTCGGCTCACACTGAGGAGCAGGCTGCCTGTGCCATCCCTCCAGAAACTATTCTGTGGGGACAGTTTCATTGGAGGTTTTCCCGCTTTCATATATCTTTTACATAAAAAGTTCCCATGTGGACAGATAGCTTCTTTGAGAAGATAGCTGTGAGGCTCCTGGAGACTGTAAGTGATAGGCAGGGCAACCAGAGCTCCTATGACTCACCCGAGTGTGCTCTCTCCCTCAGGTACCCAGACTCATGGTATCGTGACATCACATCCAACAAGAAGTTCTTCTCCCTTGCCGCAACCTACAGAGGCGCCATTGTGGGAATGATAGTAGCAGAAATAAAGAATAGGACCAAAATACATAAAGAGGTTTGTCTGTGGCATCTGGAAGGGGTGTTGCATTGGGGTCACATTACCAGCTCTTGCCTATGTCTCAGCATCTTATGAGCTGAGGAATCAGAGCAGCAAATGACACTCATATCCAGTTGGTTTCTCTGTATATAGGTGTAAATACATGGACTTTTCCCCTAAAGGTTTACTTACTATTCTTTAACTGTGTGCATGTATGTCTATGGGGGTATATACTCACAAAAACCAAAGGGGATCCCCCCGGCGCTAGAGTCATAGATGGTTGTGAGCTGCCACTATTAAACTCAGGTCCTCTGCAAGAGCAGTACAGGTTCTTAACTGCTGAACTATTTCTCCAGCCCCAATGGCATACATTTTGTTCACGGACTAAAAGAAATAATGAAAAGACCTGCAGTGGACAAAGATGGCCATTTTGAAATAGGAGCAAGCAGAAGGAACACGTCGGGAATCTGCCCCCTTGCTCTGTGACAAGAAGATGCCTGTGATTTGTGCTGTTGGAACTTGTCAAAGAAGCTCCAATATTGCTGTATTTTGTTGAGGGAAATGCTAGGTCTCAGTCAGGGATTACTGAAGAATATATTTCTTTTCACCTAATTTTATGAACCATTCAAAGACTTACCTACCTCAGCACCCTCAAGGATTTGGGCAACAGCTTGCAGTGCAGGCTGTAGACCACCGCTGTAAACCTGTGTTCTCTCTGTGGTTGTCTACAGTGAGAAGTGTCCTGGGAATTTCGGTCATAGCACTGAGACAACATTTACCACAGTAAGGAAAGGCAGTCTTATCAACCAGCAATGGATTTGTTTATGTTTTTGTTATGGTTTTGTTTTGTTTTTGTATTTCTTCAGAAATAGGGTTTTACAGTGTATTAGCTGGCCTGAAACTCAGATCCACATGCCTCTGCCTTTCAAGTTCTAGATTCCAAGATGTGTGCCCCACATCCAGTGTGCTTGAGGTTGTTTCTTTAAAAGTGAAGGAAGTGAGGCGTGGTGGCAGAGTACTTGCTAATATACAGCAAGCCCTGGGTCCCATTCCTAGAGAAAGAGGAAGAAACATCTCTTCCTAAGAACCCAGACACTGAAGGTTGCCCAACTTGGCATATGCTTATATCTTGGCACAGTGTTTGGTTGGTTTGGTTTTGTTCTTTGTCTAGCCAGCTTCTTCCGGGACCACTGCCTCACGTTGTTCATTGCTCAGGACAGAGAGAAAGCAAGGGTCAGTACCCCTTAGAGCTTCCTTTTTATATTGGATACTGTTTCTTGTTTCTTCATGCTCCCTCCCTGGGATGTTTTCCTAGTGATTGTCCACTTCCCTAATGGTCTCTTGATTGTGTTTACCCTTTCCACAGACTTGTGGACCCTTCTCTGTCTAGCTCTTTGGCTAGCATCATAGTGTTAACTGGAGCAGTGAGTTTATCCCCTCCCCACGTTTGCTGTGTCAAGGTCACTGTCTTAGGGAGTGCTGCCAGGCAGGGAGTGGGGAGCAAGTCCTGGCCTGGCCCAGGCCTAACATATGGGAGCCACTTGGTAAATGGGAAGCAGAAAAGCCAAGTCTCCTGGTGTCCTTTCTTGGAAGGGAAAAACCTACACATGGCAGATATTTCTTGTTCTTAAGAGCTTGGAATAACATGAGACCCTCATGCTGAGAGTCTTGACTCTCTCATGAGGCATTTTTGTCCAAAACAAGAGACACACATGGAGTACCCTACTGTAGTACATCTCAGTGTGGGCTCTGCCCGGCACGCAGCAGAGCAGGGTGGATAACTATCTAAACTGCTCTTCATGGTCACTGGGACAGCATGCTTTTATAAACCTGGAAAGCTTTGCACCTGGGCTGGCAAGATGGCTCAGCAGTAACCCCGACAGGCTGAGTTCAGTTCCCAACACCCACATGGAGGAGGAGAGAACCAACTTCCAGCGTTGCCTTCTGAGCGATGTTGCACACGCATGCTCACCGGACACACAAGTACATGTAATACAGCTTTTCACTTGTCCACTGCCTCACATCATGGCGACCGTGTCACTGCTTGTTGACAACCTTTTTCTTTTGGGATCAGACCAATGGCCTTAGGTATGCCAGACATACACTCTCTCGTTTAGCTGCATCTCACTCCCAGCCATCATCTTCTTACAAACTGTAGTGCTGCTTCTGGCATACAGTAGCAGTCGACCATCCTAAGAAGCTCCTCGTTGGTGTTTCACTGTAGAAGCATTCTGCCATCAGGGCCTAAACGCTCTTGTTTCTGTCGGTCAGTGGGGGTGTTGTGAGTGGCGATTAATATTTACTATTGATAAATCTTTTAGGAATGCTGCTGTTAGTCCTAAACAGCTGTATACCCAAATCACCACACAGAGACTGGGATTATTTAATTAACCTAGAACACAATGCTGGGCAATAGTTACTCCACCCTAAACCTCCAAGCCCTCATAGTTTCCTAACATTTAGATTCACCCATTATACTTGATTTTAGTGAAATCTTAGGTCCAGTTCATTCTCCGTGTCTTTACAGAACCTCTGTTCCTGCCTCTGTTTTCCCAGCCTCTGCCCTCTCTCCTCCTCTGCCTCCCACCTTCCTGTCCTCTGGCTCCTCCATATCTTCCTGCTTCCTTTCCATTGTGCAACATTGTGGCGGTTACTTTATTTTGGCATGTTTATACAAAGTTGAGACAGGTGATGCTTAGAATAAGTATCAAAATGCAATGTTCGGATTGAAACCAGAGAGTGGGGGAGAGAAATCAGCATTTGAATGAACAAGGGTAAAGTGTATACATTCCAAAAGAATATTATACCAACAGGGTGTCTTTTGTTCTTTATTCTGCTGCTTCCCACCTTGTGACTTCACATCTCAGGATATAGACAGTGGACACATAGAACCCAGATAGGTTCTGCCTTGAACCTGTGTACCCTGACTTTGTCTCTAACTTTCTCTTTAGGATGGAGATATTCTAGCCTCCAGCTTCTCTGTGGACACACAAGTTGCATACATTTTAAGTCTTGGAGTGGTGAAAGAATTCAGAAAACACGGCATAGGTAAGAGCAAGAAGCTCATGGTTTAAACCACCCCTCCCTCCAACCAGTAACACCCCCTGTCCCGGGTGTTCTGAGGTCTTCACCTCGCAGAGGCCCCTTATTCTCTTCTTTCTTGTCCCTATTTGGGGACAGACCCTGTCCTCCTAGTGTGTCTCCCTAGGACAACTTCCGGCAGGCATAGACCGCCCTTATCTCACCTGATGCCAATCAAAGTCATGTGTATTGGCAAGGTGTTTTCAGTTCAGAATAAGAAACAGATGAAGAAACAGCACCTTCCAGCATTCATCAGACAGTATGTCATCAAGTTCTCACTCTACCATAAGTCAGGGTGTAGCAGTCCTATTTTCAGCCCAGGTTTATCTTTTCTACACTCTCTGGGTCCTGGTTTACACTTTCTGCAGTTTGAAAAGTTGGTGAGTGTCTACTAGAGACCCAGAGCACCTCCAGGGCACACCTGTGGCCTACAGTAGTGAGCAGTTCATGGGCTTTGTCTGATCTCTTAGGGCTTTGACAGTGGGAGTTAACCAGAGGCTGGTTTCAGACCTGGGAGGATAGCTCTTTAGACTCCTGCAGAAGTCATGGCTTCTTCTGTGTTCTCTTAACTGCCCTGGTGGGAAACCTTCATCTCCTTTCCTCAGGTTCCCTTTTACTAGAAAGTTTAAAGGATCATATTTCAACCACCGCCCAGGACCACTGCAAAGCCATCTACCTGCATGTTCTCACCACCAACAATACAGCAATAAACTTCTATGAAAACAGAGACTTTAGGCAGCATCACTATCTGCCCTATTACTACTCCATTCGAGGGGTCCTCAAAGATGGCTTCACCTATGTCCTCTACATCAATGGCGGTCACCCTCCCTGGACCATCTTATATCCTTTACTGCTGGAAGAAAGTGGGAGATGGCTTTATGGTTTCCTGGCTAGAGGGCTAGAAGAACCAGAGAGTTAGCTGGAACTGTGATTACCTTCGGGTGACAGTCACTGGCTTCGCTTGCAGCATTGTTCCTTGACTAGTTCAAGGTATGGGAGGTTGTGTGCACCTGATTGGTGGCATACACTAGGAAAGCTGCACTCCCTGGCAACTTGAGCCCAGCAGCAAGGTTAGGTTTTAACTCTTTGGGCCCAGTATTGATTCATCTACTCAAGAAATGTGGAAAGTGTCCTGTTCTAGGGGTTAGTAGAAACACAGCAGATAAAAGCCCCACCCTGTGCAGCCAAGAAAGTAAACAGAGAAGGGAAGAAAGTAAACAATGGCAGAAGAACAGAGTTCGGACCTTCCTTGTGGGGTTGTATGATACAAGGTGTATTCCACCCACCCCCAATTCTCTCCTCTAATGAAGTCCGTGTTAGGTGGGAGGGAAACTAGATGTCCTAGCAGTTACCAGGGGGTAACAGGTCAAAATATGCCACATGTGCCTGTGTGTGTTTTAAAGAAGTGATTCATTTTAGAGAAGTGAAACAAGACAAGTGACTCGACTCCATAGGCCTAGCTCAAATGAAATCAGGCACATCTGGGCATTCAGGAGTTAGTACTGCAGGAACATCTGCTTGTTGGGGTAGGCTCTGTACCTCTGGAGAACACTTGTCATGTGGATCCTGCCTAGGGCTTTGGTAAGCACCTGGTGCTTGTCCTGTATGGCTTTACTGTGCATTATTTCCCAAATTAATGGTCCATTTAATGAGCCTTTCTAGTATTCTCTAGGGCTTAATAGGTCCTTGGCCTCCAGGGGAGTGCATTGTGCCATGTGGGTAGAGTATGATGACTGGGGGGTCATTGATCAGACCCCAAGGGGCAGGCAAGGCTGATGGGGGCCCGTGGGGAATCTTCCTTGACAGAGTCCACAGACTACATCCAGCACCTGGGCTCCGCACTGGCCAACCTGAGCCCCTGCTCCATCCCACACAGGATCTACCGCCAGGCCCACAGCCTGCTCTGCAGCTTTCTGCCATGGTCCAGCATCTCCACCAAAGGTGGCATTGAGTACAGCCGTACCATGTAATGCCATTGGGTCAGCTTCCACCAGTCCCCTGTCCTCAGCACTCTGTGGAGCCTGTTTTCCTGTCTGACTGACTTCTGCTATCCTTTGTGAGGAGCGGGTGGCCACCTGCCAGCCCATCAGCCTGCCCCAATTGCAGGCCCGGTGCTATGCTGGCTCAGGAGCAGAGTGTATGAGCAGTATGCCTAGTCGGTCATCAACAGGTAGGAGCAGATGGTAGGACCTGGGGAGTCTGGTGCTTGTTGCAACAAGAAGTCTCTAGGCAAGGTACCTATGAGTGAGTTCACTGGAGTCCAGAAGCTTTTTGAAGAGCAAGGGACCAAAGTCCTCAAACCACTTGCCAGAATTCTTTTTACTCCCTGGAGTGTGTGTGTGTGTGTGTGTGTGTGTGTGTGTGTGTGTGTGTGTGCGTGCGCGCGCGCGTGCGCGCGCGCGGGCGCGCGTGTGCATGCACTTTGTGGAGCATAGAGCTCAACATGAGGTATCTTCCTCAATTATTGTTCACCTCACTTTGGAGACAGGGTTTCTCATGGAACCTGTAGCTCAGTGATTTAACTGGACTGGCTAATGAGCCTAAGAGATCCTCTTGTCTCTGTCTCCCTGGCTGCTAATCCAGGCTTTTTATATGGGTGCTAGAGATCGAACTCAGGACCTTGTGTTTACAAAGCAGTCACTTTTCCAACTCTCCAGCCCCTAAGTGGATTTCTTTTTAAGAAGAAATGTTTTTATCGTTCAAGAATTAGAGGGCACTGGATTCTCTGGAACTAGAGGTATAGGCAGTTATGCCATGTAAATGCTGGGAACTGAACCCATGCCTTCTGGAAAGAGCAGCAAATGCTCTTAGCCACTGAGCCATCTCCATCTTCCAAGGCCCTGAACAGATTTTTTTGTTGTTAAAATGATGGATTTGCATGATTCAAACATTGGGAAGGTGGCCCCACTTGTTCGGCTTCACCTTACAGGAGGCACCCCATGATCTGTGACCCGTGCCTGCTGCTGCTCCTAATTCTCCCCGGACCTCCCCTCTGACAACAGTGCTGTCGCCAGTGCATCTCTGTGTGGCATGCTCGAGCCCTGCATGGGCCCGTGCTGACAGCTTGTAAATGAAGAGAAGATTCTGCTTGGAGGCAGCCATTTTGGTTGCCGAGAGCTGGAATCCCAGGCCAAGAGAACAGAATTGCAGAACTGGAAGAGGCTTGGGTGCTGCAGTGACCATCCACATAGAGGCTTGATAAACATTCAGATGTGACTCCAGCAGTTGCTTGTATTTGTGTAAAGTCTCAGGGGAGCCTGGTGGCCATTGATAAGACTGAGGGCTGGAGAAGGCATCATGCTTTGGTATACCCTGGCTCAACTAAATCCCATAGACCAGATGGTGAGGTGGGTGAGCATCCTGCAATGCCTTCATGTGCCCTGCTCTCTTCCCCGCAGGCTCTCCTTCCTGCTTCTGGAAACCGCTCCCACCTGGAACCCTTGTCCTGCTTTTATGCACTGGCACCACCCAATGGCCTGGCAGGTGTGGGGAAGGGCTTTCAGGCCTCTCCTCTGCCTCCTAACTCCTTCAGCTCTTTCCTACAAGATGGACTGAACTTGGCTGAAAAAATGTGGATACCTTTGACCCTGAAGACACAGGAACCTTAGAATAAAGAGGCACAGCAAAGAGAATGTCAGGTTTTTGTATAGGAATGCCCTAAGGAAGCTTAGACAGTGGAAGCAGCTCTACCTCCTCCACAAAAGGCTGGCTGGAGACTGGGGACAGGGGCTGCCCCTGCAAGAGAACGGAAGGCTTCAAGAATCAGCCCTCTCCATAGACAGTTCCCTGTTGCTCAGTGGCTTCCTACTGTCCAGAAGGACCATCTTGCCTGTTGAATCCTGGCATGCTCCGCATACCTGACCTACACTGGGAGCTGGGCCAAGGACAGGTAGCTGTTGGCTTCTGGGTGCCTTCCCTGTTCATCCTAGAAGCTGAAACTTCAAGGCCTGGCCAAATGCAGACAGGAGGAGGCTGAGCTCTACATTGGGCATTGCTGCTGCTGTGGACCCTCGGGACCCGGCCTGGGGAGCAGAGGGCAGTTGGTGCCTGTGGTCCTTCAGCCTCTAAGGCAGAGGCTCTGTCGGTACCATGAATTGTGCTTGTAGCATACATCTCAAGTTTCCAGCATTCCTTCTCTTGTGCCCCCAAATGTGTATTGTCAATGGTCCTGCCCAGGATTGCTGCAGTGTTACAGGAGCCCTTGCAGGGTGTCCTCAGAGCCACTCACTGTGCCAGACTGAGGAGGAACGCTTCGTTGACAGGCCTCATTACAGAGTGCTTCCCTCCCTCAGCATCTCCTGGCTCAGGGCTCTCAGGCTTTAGAGCCACCAAGGCTGCCTAGCCTCAGAGAGGAAAGGGTCCTCACAAAGGAAGGCCAAGGCAGGAAAAGCATCCCTCTTCCTCAGCAGAACTGGCCAGTAGGTGGCCAGTGTCCTGAGTGGATTCAGTTGTGTGCAGAGGCCCCAGCCCCGCTTCCCCTCCCTTTTCAGTTAGTGGTGATCATGTGATTTTCATTTCTGCCCTGTGTGATCAAGGAAGAGTCTTCCAGAAGGTTCTGACTTGGACATTCATAAATCCAACTCAAAGGCCTCAATGTCCCCCCTCCCGTTCTGTAATTACTGCAGTGCCCAGCCCAGTGTTGAACAAATTGTAGTGTGTAGTCTCATTATAAACAAATAAATACTTTCACTAGTCTCATCCTGTCTCTTCACATTGTGTGCTTTGCCTCTGTGGGATAGGACTGTGGGGTTGGGAGCTTGCTTGCCATCTTCTTGATGGCCCAACGTGCAGGCAACTGTCCTACAGAGGGGTGTGAACTTGGTGCAGGTTTCTGCTGCTGAAAGCAGCAACTGGGCTGCTTCTTAAAGGTCCTTAGCAGGTCAGCTGGCTCTCAGCTTTGAACTAAGACCTGGTCCAAGTGGGCAGCTGTATAGGTCTCTTCACCAACTCTGCTGCCCCGCCCCCACTGCCATGTAGCTTAGAGAAGGTGCCCAGGGTAACCCAGGCACATGGTCAGCAGAGGCTTTGGCCCTGTGTGCAACCAGAGTATATCCCTGGTGGATGCTGGATGTTGTCTGGAGACAATTCGGTGGTCACAGCCTAGACCTTTGGCATTATTGGGAGACCACAGAACATCCTCCCGGGCACAGGAGGAGGCCTACAACAAAGCCTTAATCCAGCCCCAACTACTAACAAACACCTGAGGTCTTCAACACCAGGAACCTGAAATCTAGTCCAGTTGGAAGGACACCTGGGAACACCAGTTCCCAGTTGGCTCCTATGGGGCCATAGATTCATCTAAAACCATGGCGACAGTGTGGGGTCCAAGGCCAACATGGCTCCCATAGTTGGTTCCCTCTTTAAACCAATCCCACATTTCACCCCTTTGCTCTTGGAATGCCATGCCCTATGTTTAGGCCTATTGAGACCTTGTTTGCTTTCTAGAGCTACCGGGCAGCAGCTCCTCATACACAAAACTTTCCCGGACCTGGCTCCTGACATACCCCCAGGAAATCTCTCTGGGATTGGTGTTGAGTGGATTGACTTAAAAACAAGCAGACAAGAAGGTGCAGGCCGTGGCTTTTACTGAGATTATACCTGAGGACTCCCTGGCCTCTCAGGAACCCGATTCTCTGCTCGGCCTGGCTTCCCAGGTACAAGTGGCTGACCGGAGTTTGGGAAGGCTGCAAGGGCACGGGCATGCTTCCATTTCTTCTGTCCCTCCATTTCCTCCTCCCTCCCTCCTCATACTTTCCCCAGACTAGCCCTGGTCTGGTGCTGGGCAACTATGGGGGCCATCTCAGTGGGGAGGGCTGCTGCTGGGACTGAGCCCTTCCTCAGTAAACCTGGCCTCCTCCTCTTCGGCCATCCTTCCCCTACTGTCCCCAGCCCTGGCACTTTGGCTCCTTATGTCCTCTCCAAGGGCCCAGAGCGGGTTCTCTTGCACAAGGGACACATGGTCTCCTCCAAGGCTCTCCAGGACCTCTTGGGCCTGAGTCCCAAGCCCTCAGGGGGACCAGACTGGGAGGGGACACCCTTGGCTGGGTCCATGCTGGAACTGGAAGCTGAGGAAAAAGGAAAGAGAAGTCACTCAGAGGGACCCAATCTGAAACCTTGGGTCCTTAGACCTTATAACCTTCAAGACAATTAACTGAAAGGCTTGGTTGGTACTCCCTTGAAAGAACTAGTGAGGGTGAGAAAGGGATGTCAGTGGGTCAAGCTTGAAATGTCATGTATCCTAAAATGAAAGAACTGAGACAGTCCAAGGTCCATCAAAATAGTGAGGGTAGGAACCCGGAACTCTTAGCCCCAGATGTCCTCTGCCTTACACCTCCTCCCGAGAGGCCTTTTGCTCTGGTCCAGTTGCATACTTCCACCCTTGAGATATCACAGGACTCTGTGCACATCCTTGTTTTAAATCAGTAGTGGGCCACACGGATAGAAAAGCTAAACAAGATCTTGGCCCCTGGAGCATGACGTTACTTTAGTGTGTCTTGGCCACTGTGTCCTTTCCTAGTTCTTGGCAGAAGGCTAGGGAATGCAAAAGGCCATTTGGGTTCCCTTAAGTTTTCTTTCATGTCTCCAGTCCTGCCTTAACAGCACTCTCACCTGTATTTCCCAGGCTGTCCCTGGGCAGTTGGGCTTCCAGAAGGGCTGAGCAATGGCTGTTACCTGGACCCAGGGTCCTCTGTGGCAGGTCCAGGGGCCAGGCCGAGCCTTCTGGCCGTGGCAGGCTGCCCCCAGCCATGAGCCGGCCTAGCCAGTGGCTTCCACATTGGCCAGCGGGCTGCATGTGGCCTGGCAGGTAGAGAGCCAGGCTCCGGAGGTGACGCAATCGGAAGTTCTTGGGCTTGCTTCCCTGGGCACCAGGGCCCTGCTGCTGCTGGGCCCCCAGCCCTCCCTCATAGATGTTGGGTGGTGTGTCAGGGTGGCTGGGACGTCCTGGGGCCCAGCTCACTGCATCTGCAAGAGAGAGAGCAGGAGGGTGGTGCAACTGGGGAAAATGCAGCTCATGTGATAGGCTCCACCTCCAGGCCGTCCAGCCTCAGTTCTTGTCTATTCCCACGACTCTCTGCTCCCCAATCAGAGGGGCCTAAGAAGTCTAGGACTTTGGCTCCAAGACCCTGTTCAGCACTTCAAACCTTTTTTGTGCCCTCTACCTCAGAAAGCGTATGTGGGTGCCAGTATAAGCGCAGTGGGTACAAGAGCACGACTGGCCCAGTCATACAGCCTAGATCAAGAGTCACTCCCCTCCCAAGCATGCACGTCCCTGGGATCTCCCCAGTAGCTTTGGGCCCAGGATGGGACAGGGTGGCATCTGTGCTGCCGCTCCGCCCAGGCACCTTCTCTTATTCGAAGCTCAGAGAATGCACAGACCAAGGCTTCCATGGAGGGCCAGTATGGTGGGGGAGGAGTGGCCAGGCCTTGTGTGCAGCAGGATCTGCTCTCCCCAGCCTTAGGGGTGGGTCTGCAGGTCTCCCAGGCAACTGGTCCTTATGATGTCACAGTATGGACTCTAGTCTTCCTGGGACCCCTAGTTAGGAGAGGACGGTATCAGGTCAGGGGCAGGGTGGGAGGTAGGGCAAGGGAAGGGGCCAGAAACTTAGGATAAAGTCACTGGTCCCCAGATTCAGCCAAGCCACATAAAACAAGTTTAGCTTTGGCATGCTGAAGAGTCCTTCTCCAGGGTGATTTTTTTTTTTATTTTTTTTTATTTTTATTTTTTTAGGGGCCTCGGTTTCCTCATCTGTGGTTTAGAGAATGAGAGTTTAGAATACAAACCTGGAGAGATCTGAATCATACTGAGAAGGTGGTTAGACAATTAGATGGTTAGACAACCATCTAATTGTCCATTTTCTCCTAAGTTGTTAGGTAGTGTGTGGATAATGTCAGGGTTTTGTTTTGTTTGTTTTTTGTTTTCTTGTTCATGTGGACAAACTGGAAACTCTTGTTGGTGGAAAGAGAAAACTATATCTACTTTGGGATCTTAACTCCATCAAAAAACTTTTCATGTTTCCTAACCAAAAAAAAAAAAAAAAAAAAAATTTAGCTCTAGGTTTGACATCTAGGTTTACAAACCATTGTTTTTGTATATAGATACTAGCGGAGTTTCATTTACTTCTGTGGGTCGCTCATTGTTCCAAAACCATTTAATGCAAAGACTATTCTCTGTTCAAATGCATAGTCCCCTATGTTAGACTGGCCACAAACGTGTGGCCCTATTACACACACTATAAATCCTTAAGTATCTATTCCTGATCTGTACCACAAATGTCCAGCGCCTACCTATCTTGGGACTTTGCCTTCCTCTTCGCCTACCCTTCTTGGCTCAGCTCTTCTCTCCCTAGCCCTTTTTTTGTCCCTGTTGTCCTCGACTCGTAGCCGTCACCAGGGAGGGTTCCTTGCTGAGCCTGGGCTGACGCCCCGCGCACTCCCAACTCAGAATTAACCAGTTTCCAGGACAACCTCTGGCGCACGGCTCTGGGCACCGATTTCCGGCCTGTCGTGAAGATTGACTAGCTGTGCGCGCACGAAACCCCTCCGGGTGTAGCCCTGGAATTCTTCGTTCCCATCGTTCTGCGGATACTTTATGCGGCTTCGACTGCGGAGTTTAGCTGGAGACTCAGCCACTTAAGGTGATAGCGATCTCTCTATAAGGTGAGGCATTGGAAGCCACAACCGCACCGGAGCCAAAAGCGTCCAATGAATGGTTATGATGCTGCGCAGCTCGCAAGGTGCGAGGCGCCACCTGCTGGCCTGTGTCCTGCACATGCGCACACCACTCCTCTTTGCTTTCCGTCTTGTTTGGGCCTGACCGCACGCTGTCCTAGTGCCCAGCGGGTTGCTATAGAGACCGGCGAGCGCTGGGCCTGGGAACTCTAAAGAGACGTGCAGCCGTACCCCAAGTGGACTCCTGGGGACCAGAGCACCATGTCTTTCCGCGACCTCCGCAGTAAGGCTACACTCGGCTTTCCTGTGGGCTTCCCAGATGCTCGGGGCTCCCCTGCCGGACTCCTTCCTAAGCCTCAGGCCCGTCAGGCTGGTGGTCCCCAGACCAGCCAGGGGCTGACAGAACTTTCCAGCACCTTTGGAAAGTTCTGTCGGTCACTGGCCGCGTGTGGCTAGAATACTTGGAATCTGTCTCGAGCGGCTGAGGAGCTGATTGTTTAATTTTACCTCATTTTATCTCAGTTTGGCACAGCCACCTTCGCAGCCGCGTTTGAAAGGTCATGAAGACTTCCTCTGTGTTTGTAGAAAGAACCAATAAAACCGAGGAGGCGAATGGATGAATGGCCATTGCTGCTAGGTTTTTTGTTAATTTCCGAGGGTTTGTTGTTGTTTTGTCTTTTACAATCTGTCACATGCTGTTCTCTGTGTGGGCATTATTTCGTTTACTCCTAGGCAGTTCGAATGCCCTGTGCCCAGAGAGGAGGAAACAGGCAGCAAGAGGTTAAAGTAATTTGGACAAGTAATGGCTAGAACGAGCAGCTTTGGAGTTTGAATCCAGGTTTTCTGAACGCTAAATACTGAGCAGAGAACTTTGCGGGAGAATGGAGAAGTGGACTAATAATATTCATTACTGCTCTTTGGGGGAAACATCTGTTCCATTTCACTCTTATTATTCCTGGTTTTAACTCCAAGAGAAGTAGCTAGAAAGAGTGACAGGACTGTGTGACCCAGAATCTGGCTTCAGTTGCTGAAGAGTAGCAGCTACTAGGAATGTCTTCTGGGATTTGAGGATATTTGAATGTGTAATGGTGGCTGTCCCACATAGTTTTTGACTTTGCTAGGATCATTGAATAGCGATGTACCGGAAAGAGTGTTTAAGAAGAGTATTTCAGAATGTTTACCTTAGATAAATGCTGTATAGTTGTGTAATGCATGAGACTGTCCCCATTTAACAGTGGAGAACTTGACAGCTACTGCTTAGCTGAAGGAAGTGTTTAGGCAAAGCCTGACTTAGGGGAAAAGCTCTTACTTATTTTCTACCATCTCTCTTTTCCAAGGTCTTCCAAGGTCTGGTGCAATATGTTCTGCTTTATTGTCCAATTAGAATAGTCAATAAGACATTTTAATAGCTGTCTTCAATAAGCACCAGTAGACATTACATAACCATAGCCAGGAAACATGTTCAAGATCTCAGCATATTATGGAACTCAGAAATGTTGGTCATGTTCATTTTTTCTTTTCTTTTTCCTTTTTGTTTTGTTTTTGGTTTTGAAGAGAAGGTTTTTCCTGTGTAACAACATCTCTAGCTGACCTGGAACTTGCTTTGTAGATGAAGTTGGCCTCAAACTCACAGAGATCCTTCTACTTCTGCCTCTTGAGTTCTGGGATTATAGGTGTGCACCACAAAGCCCGCCTTTGTGTTCATCTCTGAATATCACTTTCTTCATTTTTACTTTCTCCTGTCTTTCAAGCAGTGTCGCTTTTTTTCAGGTATTCACAATACTGCTGTTTACTAATCTGCTTTTACAGTAAATCTAAATGCTGTGTATAGTTCAACCATTCTCTTAAAATTTCTCTGCATATGAGGTAACCGATCTTTGAAACTTATGTCATGAGAACCATATGTGCTCACCTTGGAAAAAAAAAAGTTTAATCTTGATCTTCATCCTACCCTAGGCATTCCCTTGAATTACCAGTATCAAAATTTTTTTCTCATGATGTTTTATGAGGTTAGGTAGTTTTTATTTTGAATAGTAAAGAGGCAGCTATCAAAGAGAAATTAAAGCCTCAGCTAGCACCTGAGCCTTATTTTCCTGAAGAAAATTTCCTCCCATTGAACGTTAAATGTTTTTCAAGTGTTGGATAAGATCTTGTTTCTTATCTCCCTTTTCTTTCCTCGCTAAAGTTGCTGGACTCAGCATCTAGAGCTTCACTAAGTTGGGAAGAGCCAACAAGAAGGGAAAGCAGAAAGAATACGATTAACTACTTTACAAAAGGAGTTGCGGCTTGACGAGGGCTGATGGAATTGTGTTCTATCTTGGACAGATTTCACAGAGATGATGAGAGCCTTGGGATACCCACGACACATTTCAATGGAGAATTTCCGCACACCCAACTTTGGGCTTGTCTCTGAAGTGCTTCTGTGGCTTGTGAAAAGGTTAGAATGCACTTTATTCACACTCAGCGTGAGTAGTTGTTTTCATTCATTAGCTAACTGGAAACTGTTATGATGTAAAAGAATATAGCGCAGTCTGCACAGGATGAACTTAGTTGTAATTTTTGGAGAGTTGCCAGGCATGATGGCGCAAGTAGCTCTCTGTTAGTTCAGGGTCAACCTGACCTACATGCCACGTTCCAGCCTAGCCAGGGCACATAGTGAGAGACCCTGTCTCAAATTTTTAAAAAATGAAAGAAAGAAATCAGCAGAGTTTAAGAACATAGAGGGAGATTACTGTTCTCATTAGAGAGCAGGTACAGGCTCCACTTCAGCCCCTCCCACAAAATGACAGGGACCTTCTTGCACACTTAGGATATTCTGCATTAGAAATATCGTAGACATGGCTGGGGAGCTAGCTCCAAGTTTAAGAGCATGGATTGCTCTTTCAGAGGACCTGATTTGATTCCAGCACTCATGTTGCGGGGCTCACAATGCCAACCCCAGCTCTAGGAGGATCTTACACCTATAACCTCAGCGGCCACTGGCACTCATGTGCACATACTTACACACACACCCACACATACACGCAATTAAAAATAAACATAAATCTAAAACAAGAAATAACGTAGATTTCTATTGTGTTAAAAGTCTTATCTAATTAGGATTGGCAACCTTTTGTGTTAGGAACCAGATAGTAAATATTGTGTGTGTTGTTATACATAAAATCAATCTACATGAGATGTCTGTTGAATATTCTGAAGTTACAGGCAGTCGTGAGCCATCTGACATTGGTGCTAGGAACTGAAGACGGGTGCTCTGGAAGAACAGTATATGTTCTTTAACCACTAAGCCACCTCTCCAATCCCTTGTCTTTGCTTTTAAAACTTAAAAACTATTTTTTTAAATTTCTGTTTATTTACCTTATAACCCAAGGGTGCCCCTCCCTTCTTTCCTTACAGTCCCCACTTGCCTTCCTTCCCCCTTCCCCTCACCCCTTCCCTCTCAGAAAAGGGGGCCCCCTCCCCAGCACATCATGTCACATCAGGACTGAGCATATCCTCATCCCCTGAGGCCAGGCAAGGCAGAGCTGCCAAGGGAAGTGGTCCAAAAGCAGGCATTAGAGAGGCCCCTCCATTTGCCGGGCACCCATGTAAAGCCCAAGCTGCCCACTGGCCACATGTGCGCAGGGACTAAAAATGATTTTTATCTTTCAGGGAGCCTTGGTGAAGTATCAGTAAACCAAAGTAATTTCAACAACTCTGCCACTTCTTAAAATGAATGATTTAGCCCTAGTGTCGTGTCTTGTGCTATCAGCCTAAGCACAGTCTTGCTTATTTTCATAAAAGTTGGAAGTCTGAGGTAGATTTAGTTTATAACCTGGGTCCCATACTTGGTTTGTTTACACTTATTGCTATGTGTGCATGCATGTGTCACGTGTCACGTTATGAGTGTGGAGATGAGAGGACAACATTGCTGAGTTGGTCATCTCCTCTTATCTTTATGCAGGCTGTGGGGGTTGACTGAGGTTTCCAGGTTTATACAACAAGCCCCTTTACCTGCTCAGCATATGTGTATGGATTCATGCTAACCACAGCATACATGTGGAGGTTACAGAACAGCTTGTAGTTGGTTCTCCTCTTGCGCTCTGTAAGTCCTAGAGGTCGAACTCCGATTGCGAGGCTTGGTAGTAGTCCTGTTTACCCACTGAGCCATCATGTGGTCTAAGTCACTGTATCTCCGTTGTGGGTTGGACTTGCTCCCTGGGTATTCTGTTTGCGTGGAAACTTCTGCTTAATTGTATTGCCTTGGAAGGCCAGAGAGCCCCATGTTAGCTATAGTCAGTCACCCACCTTCTGTTCTATGCAGCTCTGGCTGTCCTGGACTTGCTTGGTAGACCAAGCTGGCCTCGAACTCACAGAGATCCTCCTGCCACTGCTTCCTGAGTGCTGAGGTTACAGGTATGTGCCACCACACCTGACTTTGAGAGACTTTGTGTTGGATTGGCTCATGCTTGTTTTCTTTCTGGTAGGTATGAGCCGCAGACTGACATCCCTCCAGACATTGAGACCGAACAAGACCGAGTTTTCTTCATTAAGGCAATTGCCCAGTTCATGGTTAGTTGACAGTTATTTTATGGACTTATCAAATAAATTAGAAAAAAATGAATCCTAGTTGGGACTATTTTTGAACTATGTACTTTCTAAAACCATTCCATGGCTAGGTTTCTTTGGAACCACTTGACCACAGTGTGTTTATTTGTCTTTTTGACCCATTACTTGTATGGTTTTACTTGTTTATTTTTGGATAACAAAAAAAAAAAAAAAAATTTTAGATCATGAACTTATACAGAGTAAAATGACTTTTTGCCTTGTCTGGCCTGGCCTGAGTTACAAGCATAATAACTGCTACTTTTAATTGATTCCAGAGTTTGTTTATATATATTTTAGCAAGTAATAATGATATATATAATATGTAAATAACAACATACATATATACACCCTTTTATAGACGCTGTGTAGCATCTTGCTTTCTTCACTCAATGGTATGTTTTGTAGAACTTTTCAAATCCATATAGAATTTCCTCTCTTACACTTAAGTTACTATTGCTTGTTGTTATTCACATAGGTATTTAGGTAGTTTACAACCTTTCCTGTTTGAAACAATTCTGTAATGAATAGCCTGTGGTTTCCATTTCCTATGTGAGTTTATGCTTAGAGTAGTTCTTAGAATTGGAACTACTGGGTCAAAGATATATGCATTTGTAGTTTTGGTGTCTTTTCCCAGGTTGCTCTTTATCACAATATGGGACACCTACAATATTTTATTTTTTTAAGGATAATTATTTATCCTTAATTACTGAGTTGTGTCAGTTTCTGGCAGAGACATTTTTAGGTTACCTATATGGGATTTGGACTGTTCCTGAAAAGGGCCTTTGACTTGGAAGCAGGGTGTGCTGGTGCACACTTCTAATTCCATTACTTAAAGGATAAGACGGGAGAATCGAGAGTCTGAATCTAGCCTGAACAGCTACATAGTGTCAGGCCAGCATGGGTTATATAGTAAGACCCTGTCTGTCTGTCTCAAAACAGGCCACAAAGGCACATATCAAACTCAACACTAAGAAACTTTATCAAGCAGATGGGTATGCCGTGAAAGAGCTGCTGAAGATCACATCCGTCCTCTACAATGCTATGAAGACCAAAGGGATGGAGGGCTCTAAAGTAGGAGAGGAAGACATCAGCAAATTCAAGTTTGATCTTGGCTCTAAGGTAAGGGTGATGAAGTTTTTGGCTAGGAAATGTTTATTTCTCAAACTTGGCACTAGAGTATGTCTAACTTGCTCACTACTTTCCTTGTTGGCTGACTGAGGAGAGTTTTTCATCTTGTTAGTATTGGGATGAAAGCAAAACTCAAAATAAATCCACTTGTTTTAAAGCCTAATTTTAGCAGATTGTGTTCAGACACTGAGGATACGGGTATAAACAGAAAGGTCAGAAATCCTGGGTTCCTTTGGCGTAGTAGTTGGAGGACTCAGAGATGAACAACAATGATAAAACCATGGAAGGTCTGATGCAGCCAGTGCCTCGGAGTGCAGCAGAGCAGTGTGGGATGGAATGTGCTGAGGGGCAGGGCCGTTACACATAGTGCCTTCAGAGGGGCCTCCAGGTATGATGACTTCTTGGCAGAAGTGAGAGGGACAGCCCAGGCCATGAGTGAGAATGGGGGCTAATGTCCCGAGATGACAAATGCTTTGTATGTTGGAAGAAAAGAGAGGAAGCCCTCTGTGGAAGTAAAGAGGGGAGTATAAACCCTCTGGCCTCAGAAAAGCCTTTGACTTTTCCTCTGGGTTGGGAAATGGGGTTTCAGCAGAGATGTATAAGTTTTGAACCTCCTCTTAGCCAAACAAGGTGGCAGGCACCTGTCTTCTGAGCTGCACGGGAGACGGAGGCCGAATGATCGTTGAGTCCAGGAGTTGTAGGCCAGCGCTGAGAATTAGAAAGTCCCCTCTCAGAAAAGGCAGGGGCTGGGGATTTAGTGCTATGGAGGAACTCACTCAGCCCTGAGCTGCCCGGTCGCTGAGCTGTTACTCAGTTACCGTGGTGGTATACCCAGACTTCAGGCTAGAGGAAATAGCAACTGCTCATTTCATCTCTGCCCATGAGATGGGCATCTATCCATCTCGGACCTGAGTCTGGAAGTTTCCACAGACCTGAGATGGGAGAAGGATCAAGAATGGAAAATGAAGCCGAGGCAGTGACAACACACACCTGTAATCCGAGCACTTAAGAAGCAGAGCAGGCACATCTCTGTGAGTTCGAGGCCAGTCTGGTCTATAGTGAGTTTCAGGACAGCCAGGGCTACACAGGGAAACCTTGTCATTAAAAAAAGCAAAAAACAAAAGAAAAGGATGGAAACTACTAGGTTACTGTGTTAGGATGGAAAATGTGTCTCTAGGCCTTTCTCATATCTTGCCATAAAAAGGCCTCAGCAGAAGCAACTAAAGAGGTTCTCAGCCCAAGGCTCAAATGGGAAACAGATGAATGAAAAACAAAAATTCTCAGATAGGAATACACATTAATCTTGGAGCTCTTCTCTCTGGGGCCCCAGAGAAAGCACTGTGATTATTATGCTTGAGCCAGAGCTCACAACTGAAGTTCAGACATTATTAAAAGTTAATTTATGTGTGTGCATACACAGTGTCACAGTAGACAAGAAGGTCAGAGGTCAGTCTGAGAATTGATTCTCTCCTTCCATCACATAGATCCTTGTCATCAGTGGCAAACACCTTTTACCACATGAGCTATCTGACCAGCCCAGAATCAGAAATACCTTGATGGTAATTTTTATGGGTTTGGATATGAGTTGAGGTAGATGAGATGACATGAGATCCTCAAGTCATGTTGCCAGACTTGATGTAATGATGTTCTAGGACTGCATCTGGCCTGTATTCTTTGGGAGCCACTGGTGGAACTGGCTAACATAATTAAGAAAATGAGCTCTAACATTATCTAATTTTTAAGTAACTGAAAGGTGAAAATAGCCAGTGTGACTAGTGAAAATTTTGTTCTGAGTTTGACTGTAGACATTAAGTTTATAAGTTCCTTTGGATGTCCAAGTGGAGATGTCTAGCAAGAGTTTGTATGTGATGCTGAAGCTGGAGTTAGAAGGCATCAACATGCAGGGGATTAAAACCATGGGTTATAAGTATCTGTGAGGAAGGAGATGCCAGAGACTGAGAAAGAAATGGGTGTGCTTGATGCTAGGCAAGCAGGCAGGAAAAGCAGGTAGAACAGGAGAGTGGTACCCTGGGTCTTATGAAGAGAAGCTAGAACTGTAGGGGTTCCTCAGAGCAGGACCAAAAGAGAGAATTAAGAATTGTTGCTGGGAGGTTGAAGTAAAGAGAGAAGGTAAGGGTTACTTGTTCAAGAGGGGGAGGGAGAACAAGGATGCCTCCTTGGAAATTTAACGTATTGAAGGAGGAAGAGGATATGCACACCCTAAAAACGTCTGAATGCTGAGAGTTGTTAACGTCATCTTCCTGGCAGTGGGAGCCCAGGAGATTTTAAGTGCTTACTGAAGTTGGCTTCCCGGAGCTTCATAGCAACTCCTTGAAGGAGAGTCTAAGGCATTGGCCTTGGGATGGCACGGTAGAATGTCTCTCAGGTGCCCCTTTGATCATTCTATTAGCGACCTAGTCCAAATAGGAAGCATGTCAGCTTTTTGTTGTTTATACCTCCTAGTTGTGAATTCAGTTTGACTTTGCAGTCAAACTGTATTTTTTTTATATTCAGTTTGGATTTCTGAGAGACCAGGTGTCCTGAAATTGGTCCCATTTGAACTTTGTCAGTGTTTCCTAAGTTGGTGTCCTGGGTTCTGTTCTACAATAGTAAATAGGGCTGCTAAAACATGTGCCCTGTAGTTATATACCTGCCTGAAGGAAGTGATTGAGGTTGACAGAGGGGCAGCTGAATGCCTATTGAAAAATGAGGGTCTTTATTTGCAATTTCCCTTCCAGATTGCAGATCTGAAAGCAGCCAGACAACTTGCTTCTGAAATCACTGCCAAGGGAGCATCTCTGTATGACTTGCTGGGAAAAGAGGTTGAGCTGAGGGTGAGTAGTGTTCAGTTAAGGAAGGAGAACTGTCTTTGCTTCTTGTCCTGTCATTCTTCCAGTTTAGACTCACCTGTACGGAGTGAGTGGGCTACTGTATGGGAAACTGGTGTAGCGTATGAACCTTTTCCTGATTCTACTGGATACTGGCCCACTGGTTTTAACCTTTTCTTTTTTTTAATTAAAAATGTTTTTCATACAATGTATTTTAATCAAAGGGGAAACCTTTTTTAAACTCTCCCAGATCCTCAATCTCTTATACACCCAACTCTATGTTGGTTTTTTTTTTTTCTTTCTTTAAAAAAAAAAAAGAAAAAAAGCATGGAGTCCATTTTGTGTTGGCCAACTGCTCATGAGCGTGAGGCTTGCCCTAGAGTGTGGTTAATATCCAGTGGCCCTCCATTAAGAAAACTGATTTTCTTTCTCCTGACAGCCATCAATTGCAAATAGCTCCTTGGTTAGGAGTAGGACTTTGAATGCTGTGATTGTTAATATCTTTATTTTTAGCCTCTAGGTCAGAATTGGCAAATGTATGATGTGAGGCTGTGACTTTCTCCTTTGCCTCTTCTCGGCATTGCTCTCAACAGTGTACCTCTCGCTCCATGGCTCCCAGAACTCACTGTCCCCAGATGTACCCTGAGTTCTTTATTAAACCGCTTTCATGCTGATGTCACTGTTGTGGAGTATGATCTAGGCATTAGAGTTTCAAGGCTTTCCCAGGTGATTATAACATAAGCGTTTGTGGCCAGTGATCTAGGCAGCACTTTGAGACAATGTTCCTATGAAATTTAACTTACTGTACAGTGCCAGTCATACAGCCTGCACCATCTGCTCCATTTAAAGTGACTGTTAAGCATGGTTCCTGAAATTTGCATCAGGATTCTGACAGAACAGCAGTTTGGGAACCACAGGGTTAAGAAGAAAAGTACTACTGAATCCTTCTGTGTACTCACTGAAGCGGTTAAGCATGCATTCTCCATCTAACGTTTCCTACTTTAAACATTTCCTTTCCTTACTTTCTCTCAAGAATGTCAGCCTTCCTTGCCCTCTCACTGTTTCAGCATCCACTGTAACGCTAGCTTTACCTAGCTTCCATTTCTGCTCTGGGGGTGAGCACAAGTGGAAGGCACAAACAGCAAGTTGTGCTGTGCTTAGTTTTTTTGTTTGTTTGTTTGTTTTGGTGGGGGAGTGGAGGGTTACCCATGAAATTTAGAAATAAAGGTAATGGACATTGGTTTAAGGTTTGCCAGGGGCACATGGGCCTTGAGCTGAAAATGAAGACTTGCAGTCTGAGGAGAGCCCAGGCAGGCAGTAGAGGGCATTTATAGAAGGGGACAGTGATGGGAATGTTTTGCACACAGATGGACACTATTGCAAAATGTTACTTTTATTTTCTTATGTGTCAGAGATTGCATTCCAGCATTCCAGGCTTGCACGTGCTGAGCCATAGTCTACCACTGAGTTAAACTTTGGTGAATTATTGTGACATAAGTGTCTCACATACTTTGCGGGACATTAGTGGGCATGAAGGTGTGCATCTGTAATCCCAGCAGTTGCGGAGTCTGAGGATGTGGGGAGGGGATTATGAGTTCAAGCACATCGGAGGAAACATAACAAGGCTCTCAAGAAGAATTGGAATTAATTGAAATTAAAAACTGAGCTCCCTGTCTCAAAATGTGTACGTAATTTTATTTCTCCTAGGAACTAAGAACAGAAGCCATTGCTAGACCTCTAGAAATAAATGAGACTGAAAAAGTGATGAGAATTGCAATAAAAGATATTTTGGTAAGAGTATATTGCTTTTATTTCTTGGTTTTGCATCTGGGACTCAAAAAATATGATTTTCTGTGTGCACCAGATAGAGTAAGAGGGGCCTAGAAACAAGAGGTCCTTCAGGAGAAACTTAGAGGATATTTTAGGATTCCGACATTAAGGCTATACTTTTTCTCCAATAAGTAAAAATAATTTTACTAAATTACTGTGACACACACCTTTGATTTCAATGCTCAGGAGGCAGAGGCAGGTGGATCTCTGAGTTCAAGGCCAGCCTGGTCTGCAAATCGAGTTCCAGGACAGCCAGAGCTACAGAAAAATACTGTATCTCAACACACACACACACACACACACACACACACACACACACACACACACACA